ACCAACAATTCATTTGAATAAAACTTTTCATTCAGAAAGGTCATTTTCACTCTTTATCATAATGGTTTAATTACTTATAGCAACATTTGTTTAAACGTGCTCCATGTATTTACTGCTGAGGACAACGAACTGTACAGATTGTTGTGCATATATTTAGTTTTTTATAGTTTTATAAAACATTTGTTCTTTTTATTATTTTATTATTAAATGTAATTATATACATTTTTATATAATTATATATAGGGCAAATAAAACTCTTTTCCATCTGGGGTATTTGAAAAATTCCTTAGCCTTTTAGCCCTTTATAAGTAAAAAATTTAACCCTGGTTTAAAGTTTGTCAGAAAACGTGGATGTCCTCATTTTAAATATGCTGGATACAATGGACACAAAAAAATGAATTATTATAAAACATTGTACAGTTTTCTAAACTCGATGATGTTGCTGTGGGACGAAGTGAGGCAAAACAAACAAATTATAGTGGAACAATACCGTTTAGCATTGCACTGACTACAACTGGCCAACAAACTAGTTTAAAAATGTCTTTTGCTGCTTAAGAAATGGTGTACAGCATGCTGATGATATGCAAACATCTGAGTGTGAAGTTTGTCAGTATTGATCATATTCTTTACGTACCAGCAGGCGCTGCCATTGGAATCTTTTTGCTAGAGACTTTTTTTTAAGAATTAATTTTTTGATCCTAAAAATAGTGTAAAGTCCTGTGCACATGAGACTTTTTTTGCTCGCATTTGTCTACATATAAGGCCTTGTGACTAAAGGGCGTCAATTTGATCGTGCACACTACGCACAAAACGCCAGGCGTAAAACCGTAATTTTTAAAGAAATGCCTCATGCTTGTTTTTTTATTTTTTGATGCACCGTGTTAAAACCTTCTTCACTAATCAGGTTGGCACTTTTGTTCAAATGCACGGAGCTGCTGAAGTTACAGTAAACAGCACATGGAGGTGCTCAAAACTGTCAATGCGAGCACACATTAAAGAAGGTGCCAAGAGGCGATATCAACGTGGAGCTTCTTATTGCTCTGTGAACAATAATCATTTCTTCATCGCTAGAGGTGGAGCTGCTACTTGAACCATCCATGCTTATTTGAGTCACCAGTAACTTTAACAACAATCGTGTGAACTTTCTCTCTTCTTCTTTTGTGTTGCAAGAGGGTGTCGGAAGCTTAAAGTTGTGTTGCGCCATCTAACGTTAAGGAGTGGTTTTGCATACTCTTCTGCTTGATGCTAGTAAAAATAGCTTGGGTTTTAATGCAGAAAAACATCTCGTAAAAGGCTGAAAATAAACGCACATGAAAAAGCGTCCTGGTGTGTAGGAGCCTTTATGCTGCTTAGACATGGTATGATAACCGTTTGCAAGGTTTGCAAACTGCCAATATTTTCTGCTGTACGGTCCCTACTGTAAATGTAAGGATTTTTATGTTCTGTTATACGTTTTTTAGGACAACAGTATCTCCAGCAGAAAATATCTCCAAAGATGACATTTTAAATCGTAAAGAAATCTGTGTTTATGAAACAAAAGAAGACAGCAGAAGTCAATAATTAATTTGAATTATTCAGCCTGACATGTTTACTGCTCCAATATACTTTCAAAGTTTCTCAAAAGAAAATATATTGTTTTCAAAGGGAAAAAATGTGTTTGTTTTTTTATCCAGAGATTTTAAGGAATATATTTTAGAGCAGTAATCAAAATACAGTGAAACCGTGATATTTTTTATATCGTGATATAAACCGTGACAAGGTTATCATACTGTCAAAATCTTATACTGGCCCATGCCTAATGCTGCTTGATGTTGTAGGGTCATTTTCTAATTTTATTATTTTTCTTTGTATGTATAGTCATGAACACACTAGTTTGTAGAGTAGTGTGGCCGTTTTCTGCTATTTATTATTCATGGTCAATTCTCCAAAAGGCAACTGAATTGAAAGTTCTAAAATGATAGCATGAGATCTGGGGTCCGTTCTTCGTACGTGGATTACTCAATTAGCTGGATTTGGTTATTTTTGGCTTTGGTTTTGGTTATCAATGATTGTTTCAATCTTTAAAACTCATCTGAGACTTGTCATGGCAACAGTTCTAGTAGCTCAAACCTACTTGGGATCAGAAAAATATATACTAATAAAACTTATGCAATCTGCTCTCCAAAATTAAAGTAGAAAGACTGCCACCTAAGAGTTCAAATAGATTTTTTTTAATATAATCTTTGTAGATACAAACGTGTACATGCACAATATTTGACTTTTTTTAAAAAGGGGTAATAATTTATGCAGTCATGCACGTTTTTTGACCACTAATATGCCGGTGATTGACACCATTACCGATATGAAAATGCTTTTTTTCATGCAAAATTAATTTATAGAGTTATTCTTTACGCTGATAAAAAAAAATAAGTAGGCATAGGCTACTATAATTAATAAAATTTTCTCTAAATGTAGACCTAAATACATTGATATGCATTGAAATACATGATGAATACTCTTGACTCATAAAAGCCTGCAGCTTACAACAAATGTGTAAAGTTATTGCGTGTCATGTTTAACAAACCATTTACTGCTAATTTTATGTAATTTGGCTCACTTGGATAATTGAATATTAATCAGATGATGTCATTACGCTGCTGTGCCATCAGCCAATCGTTACTTTGTTGATCATGATTTCGAGGATCGATAGATCTGTCCTTCACAACACATGCAGCCATCTCAGATCAGTTCATCCAGACATTTTAACCTGATTCACAAACTTGTTTACAGAACCAAATTAGCCAGAGATCAGTTATCAAGATTAAAAGATCCAGGATCTGCCAAATTATCTAAGATTATTTAAGTGCGGTACGAAGAACAGACCCCAGGTCACCGCTACGAATGACAATTTTTGTATGTCACTGTTTGTCCATGTACTCCTGTTATCCTGAGAGCTGATGCTGAGTATTCTTAGGCATTTTCTTACTTGAAATTGTTAACCCTGGGTGATTCTAACCACAGTTAAACAATCCTGGGTTGTCTGTAGTCACCATCCACACTGCTCATGCTATACCTGGGTGTTAATTACCAGACGTTTCATATTCGCAAATCCCCGGGTTAAAATTATTATTTGTATATTTCCGTTGTCACTGTCCCTGATTGGACAAATAGCAGGTAACCTTTTTAGATGGCATTTCTGCATCTTGTCGGGTATATAAAATGTAATAACGTAGGTCTTCAACTAAGCATCAGGAACTTGCACAAAGCCAAGAAAACAAAGACAAGTACAAGTGAAGCTTGTTTATAAACTTATTTCAAGAGGATCACGTTTATGATTGCATGCGGCTGATCTCGCATTATTTAATTTAGGATTCACCAATCAGACGATTCCTAAACCACTATAAATACCCTAAATTCCATATCACAGCCATCTTCGTTTAGAAAAATCCCGCCTTCCACCCCTACTCCTCCTTTTCTAGGTCGGTGGCACAAAAGCCCAGAGGTTAGCACTGTTGCCTCATAGCAAGAAGGTTACTAGTCGTTACCAAGCCAGCTGATGTTTCTGTGCAGAGTTTACACATTCTCCTGGTGCTCACGTGGGTTTCTTCCAGGTTCCCCGGTTTCCTTCCACTGTCCAAAAACATGCAACTTAAGTTAATTGACTAATCCAAATCGGCACCATAGACATGCTCTTAGTAAGTAATTATCTCTTAAAAGCAATCACTTTCTGTTTATTAGCTACTACAGCAGACGAGTTCTCGAGATCTACCCGAGCTCAAACTTCCCTTTCGCCTTGCAAATGGGAGAGAGCCTCAGGCTCGAGGATCATTAAGTGTAAACACTTGAAATGAATGAAAACAAGTTGCAAAGTATGTCATCTTGCCATCTCCTCATCACTCCAGTTTACAGCAAACCTGACATTAATCATTTGCATATGTCCATTCATTAATTTTCCTTCGGCTTAGTCCCTTTATTCGTTAGGGGTCACCACAGCGGAATGAACAACCCAGTACAGTCCAGCGGCAACCCAGTACTGGGAAACATTTGTTATATTAGTTATATACAAGAATGCAAACTCACAAAAATAAGCGTAATTTATGCGTACTTGCCATGAACATGCAGGAATTGTCTCAATCGGGTCTTCCAAGCAAGTTACAAATGTTTAAATCCAGTGGAAAATGCACAACACACAGCATGAGTAATCCAGAGCGAGTGCATTTGATCATTTACATTTAAAGCCACAGGCACAAAAAGAGCTTGGTTTTCCTCTGACCCCCAAAATTAAATCTTCTGTAAGGTATATGATCTGATTTTGAGCTGTAACCTCAGACACATTCTGGGAAGACTTATTTTACATCTTGTAAAAAAGGTTTTATAATAGGAATCCTTTAAAGGGATTGTTGATGCAGAAATTAAAATAGCCTTACTATTTATTGTCCCTCGTGTGGTTTTAAATCTTTACGAGTTTCTTGGTCCTGTTAAACACAAAAGAAGATCTTATGGAAAAAACGCTGGCTTTCTTTGTGTTCCAGAAGAAAGGAAATGTTTAAAACCACATGACACAGAGTAAATGGTAAGCTCATTTTTATTTGTGGGTGAAACATCCATTTCATGCTTGTCGCTTTGTGGCTTCATTCTAAAAGTTCATTTTTTTTTTTTTTAAAGACCTGATGGTGCTGAAAGAAGAAACTCATCAATGGAATGAAATGGAAGAGAAACATCAAGAAATATTGACTGATGAAAAACCCACACTGACTAAAAAGACTTCATCACACGGAAGACCTCGGAAATCCAAATCTATGTGTAATTTCAGCAGTAACCAGTGTAGAAAGAGTTTCAGTCAAAAGCCAAAGCTTGATGTTCACAATAGGGAGAAACTTTACACCTGCAAACAGTGTGGAAAGAGTTTTCCTAAAATTCATGGCTTTAAAGCCCACATGAGAATTCACATTGGAGAGAGGCCGTACATATGCCAACAGTGTGGAAAGAGTTTTACGCAAAATATCAACCTTGAAGTTCACATGAGAACTCACAATGAAGGAAGAATTTTTACTTGCACACAGTGTGGGAAAGGTTTTGCTAAAAAACACAACCTTAACATCCACATGAGGATTCATGCTGGAGAGAAACCTTACACATGCACAGAATGTGGTCAAAGTTTCCCATATAAAACCACATTCAATAGCCACAGGAGAATTCACACAGGAGAGAAACCTTACAGATGCACAGAGTGTGGTAAAAGTTTCACACATAAAAGCACATTCAATAACCACAGGAGAATTCACACTGGAGAGAAACCATACACATGCACAGAATGTGGTAAAAGCTTCACGCATAAAAACACACTCGATAACCATAAGAGAACTCACACTGGAGAGAAACCTTACAGATGCACTGATTGTGGGAAACGTTTCCCATATAAAAGCACATTCAATAACCACATGAGAACTCACACTGGAGAGAAGCCGTTTGCATGTGCTCAGTGTGGAAAGAGCTTCAGAGCCAAAGCTAGCCTCATGAATCACATGAATGGTCACACTGGAACCATAGTGTTCACATGTGATCAGTGTGGAAAGAGTCTCACACACAAAGACTCCATTAAGAACCACATGAAGACTCATTTGGTAGAGCGTTTAAGATGCAGTGAGTGTGGAAAGGGCTTTAATTGTAAAAGAAGCCTCAACACTCACATGAAGCTTCACAATGGAGAGCAGAGTCCTCAACATTGAGGCCTTGTCCACACAAACACTGGTATATTCTAAACGGCAGCTTGTTCATGTAGTTTGGCTGTTCATTGACATGGTTTATTTATAAACTACTTTTGAGAGGATCATGTGCTATGATTGTCCACAGCTGGTCCTGCATTAGCTAACACACCAACCAGATGATTTCTAAACCACTATAAATAACCAAAGTTTCTTATCTTAGTTATTTTCCACCTATCCACACAAGTGGATAAGTTTATCTATCCACACAAGTCCCACAATGATAGTAACCTGTTCAGCAGAATATATTGACAGTTCTGATGTTGTTCTTTTTTTAGAAAATACTTCCAAATCAGGAACACAGGCTCCTATTCTTGTAACCCCTTATGTGGGTCTTTAGATCCATCAGTATACATTTGTGTATTTTCCAGCTATAAGCTTATACACATTTGGCTTATAGTACCTGATTCCTCCCATTCATTTCTTTTGTCCAGGATCTCAAGATTGATTTCAACTTCAGGTATTATCCATAAGGGGACTTCACTCCATACTGGGCTTTTATTACCCACTATATTAAATACTTGGTGTTTTATTTTTATTTTTTTTGCTATATTATGTATATTCCATCCAAATCCTCTTCCTCTATTATTAGTATACTCCCAACAATCTATTAAAGATTCTTTTACAATGTTCTCTCCAGCATAGCTTTTAATAGATGACCAATACGCCAGCACCAATTTCTCCCAACGCAGATATAATGGTAATTAATTTGTTTCCACAATCAAAGCTTTAATCTGTGTTGATTTTACAGCTCCTATACACATTCGAAGTGCTCTATATTGGATCCTATCTAGTCTTTTTAAAATGGTCTTTGATGCTGCCGCATATATCATACACCCAAAATTAAGTACCAATCTTATTAAAGCCTGATACACTGTGAGCATTAATGATCTCTCTGCTCCCCCTTCTTTGCCTGCTAATGCCCTCGTTGCATTTAAAGTTTTCCTACACTTCTTTTCCACTTTCTCAATATGATTTTTCCATGTGTACCTGCTAGATATTTAAATTCTTTAACCTCTCTCCGCCCCGGACAGAGCACCATGGGCGGGATATTTGCCTGAACGCTGATCAGCGAAAGCTGATTGGCTGCCTGTATGTGGCTTAGAGAAAGCTGATTGACTGCCTGTAGGCGCTCGGTGATAGCTGATTGGCTGCCTGTTCCTTAAACAGTCTCTTGACAACAGAGGGAAACATTTCTGGACAGAAGATTCATTTGTCTTCTTCAGTCTCTTCAGAGGAATATAACATTGTTTCTGTGCAATCCCTGATTGTATAATACCTTTAGTCAAGACCGGCCCCGAAGTTTTTTTTTTTACATTAATTTATATTTGACTGCACAAATCTTCTCAGTACATGTCAAACAAAGACATTCCCTCAATTACTAATAGATCTCGGAATTCTTTACCTGTTTGCGTGAGCTTTTGGAATATATTTAAGTGACAGAATGGTATGAGTTTTAAATAAATTCCTCTTATAATAAAGTTGGTGAAGTCTCTACTCATAACTGCTCTCCACTAAATCACAACTTGTTCAATCTAATAATAATATTTCCTCAAATGCTCTTTACTGTATTCAGTCTGAAGAAAGTAATTTGCTTTGGGAGTATACTTATTATCAAGTGCTTTGCGTTGACTTTACCAGTTCTCCTAAAAATGCTTTTATCCAAACTTTTGTATCCTTTAAAATTGTATTTTAGTTACTCTTTGAAACTAGCCTTCTTACTATACATGTATTTATAGCTTCTTTCTACATTTGGCATCCAGAGATTTTGATATGTATGTAAACTCTATTAATTACTGCAAAACATCAGAATGTTATTTCACATTATGTCCATATAGGACTGATTCAATCTTGTATGTAGGATATCAAAAGCATTTTTTAGTGATAATGACCCAGTTAGTGGAACTAAAACATGAAGTAGTAATGGGTACTTTTTACTTAAAGGGCACCTATTTTACCCCTTTTCAAGATTTAAGATGAGTCTTTTGTGTCTCCAGAATGTGTCTGTAAAGTTTTAGCTCAAACACCCATCAGATTATTTGTTATACATTTTAGAATGTTGGGGTTTTCTGCTTTAAACACTTAGTCTTAGTGGATTATATAAATTAAACAAAATTGTTTTAAAATGTTTGGATTAAAAGTTTTGATCAACTTCAAATACTGAATGTCTGTGTATGTGAGAGAGATAGCAGATATGTTGTATGAAGTGGAAAATGAAGGAGAAATGTATCATGTCATGACTGCAAATGTGAGTAGCAAAAAAACTAAACAAAAAAGACTTTGCCAACAGATTAAAAACAAATCTTGATTCTATTATTTCTGAAACTCAGTCTGGGTTTATAAAAGGCCGCCATGTTTCTTATAACATAAGATTAGTTTTGGATTTGCTCGATTATGCTGATTCTATTCATTCAGATGGTCTCATTCTTTTTCTTGATTTTTATAAAGCCTTTGATACGATTGAGCACCAGTTTCTGTTTAAAGCATTGAGGTTTTTTCGATTTGGGGATACTTTTGTTAACACTATGGCTTTGTTTTATAAAGGAATCAATAGTTCATTGATTGTTAATTTTAAAACTTCTAATGGATTTGATATTTTGTGTGGTATTAGACAGGACGGCCCAATCTCTTCCTTTTTATTTTTATTAGTTACAGAGTTTCTATCCTTAAGCATTGTGCAAAATCAAGATTTGTAAGAAATTTCTGTTTTTGAGAGGAAGATTAAGATTTCACAATTGGCAGATGACACCACTTTATTTCTAAAAGATGACTCAAACGTATGAAAGGCTTTAAATTTAATTTCTGACATCTCAAGTGTTTCTGGTCTAAAGCTGTTTATCTCCAAATGTGAGATAATGCCTGTTCATAATTTGAATTATGAATATATAGAAGATATCCCTGATAATCCCTGTTTTTTTTGTTATTAAAAATCTTTTAGTGAGACAGCACTTGAATTTTTGTGTCTAGGATCAGCAAAAATAAAAATATTCTTAATTGCTGGCTACAATGGTACCTGTCATTATATGGAAGAGGGTCTTTCTCATTTTGTATATCCGACTTTATCTTTATTTGTTGAGAACAAAGTGGCCAAATAAATTAATACTGTTTTCTTAATTTATCTGGAAGAACAAACCTCATAAATTGAAAAAGGAAGTTCTTTCTAATAGTAAAGCAGAGGGAGTGTAAATTTATTAGATTTTTCTGACACCATAAACATTTTTAAAATTAATTGGATAAAGAGATGCCTAACCAATCCAACTTCTATTTGTTTTTGTTTTTTTATCCCCAACTACTTTTTTTAACAAAATCTGTAGTCTTTTGTTTCTTCTTAAATTTAATTATCTTTCCTACAAGCTATCTTTAGCTTTGTCTAAATTCCACCAGCAATGTCTGCTTGCTTGGAAGCTTGGTTATGTTCACAATGTTTCTCCCCACCGATTTTTCTTATGGAATAACCAAGATATTACAATCAGAAACAAATCATTATTTTTCCAAAGTTGGTTTAAAAATAACATTAATTGGATCCTTTGCTTGTTTGATGATGCAGGAAACATTCTTTTGTGAACCATTTATAACCTACCACTGTTTTCCAACTTCTCCTAATGAATTTAATAAAGTTGTTAGGCAATACCACCAGGTTTAGTTCACCTAGTTAAAAGTCAAGGTACATTTAACTGTAAATTTGCTTTTAGATGGTGTTAGTCTGTTAGATAAGAAACGTAACAATAGCTTTGTGCGTCAAATTTTCCAATATAAAAGGAAAATTTCGTCTAGAGGAAAGTTTTACTGGAGGTCTTTGGTTAAGGACATAGACTGGAATAGAACCTGGCTTTTACCTGGGAAATATTGCATTTTCCAACAAGGCAAAAGAAATGCATTTTAAAATTTTCCATAAAATCTACCCTGTAAAATTTAGTATTTACAGTTTTTTGGACATCGACAGCTCCTGTTCTTTCTGCAAACAAGTAGAGGAAACACTACTACAGGGGTGGCCAACCCTGTTCCTGTAAAGCCACCTTCCTGCAGATTTCAGTTGCTACCCATATCAAACACACCTGAACCAATAAACTAAGACCTGAACACCACGTGATAATTACAGGCAGGTGTGTTAGATATGGGTTGCAACTGAAATCTGCAGGAAGGTGGCTCTCCAGGTACAGGGTTGGCCACCCCTGCACCACTACATGTTTTTTGATTGTCCAATATCCAAGCATTTTTGGTCACTTCTAAATTCTCACATATCTGCTTCTGCCAATGCTGTGAATTGCTTTAATCTAAAAGACTTTAAAAGACCCAAAAGCTAAATATCTGAAACGCATCATACTTTTTTTTTTATCTTATATGGCAAATTTTTCATTCACAAACAGAAATTCACAAATAATTACCCATCCTTTGTTTATTTTAGAACAGAATTTAACTCCCTCCTAAAATCACTTTATATTATTAAGAATAATACAAGAAAAATCTAAGATTCCTAAAATATTATGCAGATGTATTTAAAGAAGATGCTCAATTTTGCTTTCCTTACGGTTATTTGGTTAAGTGTCATTGTAATTTCATTAATTTAATTTTGTTTGTTTAATTTTGTAATTTTAGTATTAGTATTATTAGTCTAAATCTATTAATATTTTTCTCTTTCTGTCTAATGGTATTATTCGTATTTGTATGTGATTTTGGATATTTTTTCTTATGACTATGTAAATTATTG